TTCTCTCCCCTCCTGTCTTGTCTGAGATTTCAAGTAATGGGGGAAGGGAAGGAGCAAGAAGCCCTCTAAAGATCCCATGAAAAGGATCTCAGGTCCTTTAAAAACAAAATCTCTGAAAACATCTAAACCAAGTAGTGTGGATTCATCCTTGTCCTCTCACTCCGTGTTTGAACCTTCTCAAAATTTGTTACCTGAAGCATATATGAGTAAAATCAGGGGACAGAAGCGGCTACAAAGGTGGAAGAATTATCTAGGCTCTGCCCCCTGCTTTCTCCCCTTCCCGGTGTCAAAAGGCAGATTTACTGAGCCTGACACAAGTGCATCCTTCCCATCACAGACCCACAGCTGAGACTCAGTTGGATCACCACCCCGGTGGCCCTCTGCTGGGACACAGACCTGCAGGTATCCATCCCACAGAGAGCCCTACATCTCAACAACCACAGGACTCAGAGTGTCCCAGCCCCAAACTTAATTAATCATTCAACGATGTTGACATTTTCTTTTTGAAATGCTAGTCCATGGTTCAGGGCATTAGTAAACATGGCCTTCTGACTTCTTTAGAAAATAGCAATGATGGTATCAAACTAAAAAGCTCCTTCACAGCAAAGGAAATAACCAAGAACGTGAAGAAAAAGCCTACAGAATCTGAAAAAAATCTTTGCCACCTGCACCTCAGATAAAGCATTGATCTCCAGGATATATAAAGAGCTCAAAAAACTTAACATCAAGGCCAACTAAAACAAACCAAAACAAAAACAACAAATAACCCAATCATTAATGGGCAAAGGAACCAAACAGGCACAGCACAGAAGAAGAAATACAAGGGGTCCACAAACATATGGAAAATATTTTCAACATATCTAGTAATTAGAGAAATGCAAATTAAAGTGAGATTCCACCTCCAGTCAGAATAGCAATTACCACAAATACAAGTAACAATAAATGTTGGTAAGGATGCGGGAAAAAACGTATACTCATACATTGCTGCTTTTACTGAAAATGGGTGCAACTACTCTGGAAAGCAGTGCGGAAATTCCTCAGAAAACCTGGAATGGAACCACCATTTGACCCAGTTAACCCACTCCTCAGTATATACCCAAAGGACTTAAAATCAGCATACTATAGTGACATGGTGACATCAATGTTTATAGCAGTTCAATTCACAATAGTTAAGATGTGAAACCAACCTAGGTGCCCTTCAACAGATGAATGGATAAAGTAAATATGGTGTATATATACACAATGGAATATTACTCAACCATAAAAAGAAAGGCTTTATGACTTTTGCCAATAAATGAATTAATTAACCTGGAGACTATCATGCTAAGTGAAATAAGTGAGTCCCCCAAACCAAAGACCAAATGTTCTTTCTGATATGTGGATGCGGACTCACAATAAGTGGGGAAAAGAAGAAGAACAGAAGTTCATTGGAGTAGACAATGAATAATGAAAGGAAGGAAGGGGGGATAGAAATAGGAAAGACAGTAGAATGAATAAAAATAAGTAAATACTTGGTAGCAATGATATTTCTTCATTTCTGTAGCATGAGCAGCCTCAGACACCAAGGAATGGACTTCCCAGGAATTTTAAAGGTAATTACATATCTTTAAATAGAAAGATCGCTTTTCACATTTCTAGTAGTATGGAAATATTTTCTCTGTTTTGCATCCATCAGCAGTATGTACACTCCTTGGCAGGGAAGGCTTGAACTTTTTAAATGCTGTGTACAATACCTAGCATAGTTGGGAGCCGGAGAAAAATGTTTATAGCATAGAAATCTTACAAGGTTGTTCCATGGCTCAGTTAGTTACTCATGGTCTGGTAAAGGAAAGGGATGCACCTAAGAGGACAAGGGTGGATGCTACAGCAACAGGAGCCTGATCTGACCAGAGCAAACCTGAGAGGTCTAAGAGCCTCTGGCAAAGGCTCAAGGCACAGGGGAGGGAGAATGTTGGTGGGCGGTCATAGAACAGCTTTCAGCAAGGTAGACACCATGCCCTCTGGGCACACGGAGACTCACAGGCAGGACTCTCAATGGTCTCCAACATCTCATTTCAAGAACTGTATCTTGAGCACCTCCTGGCAGTTGCTCCCTAGGGCGGTCTAGGAAAGAGGACTTTCAAATGGTGACTAGGTTCTCAACCTGCTTTTACAGAACAACTATTTGACACAGTTTATCAGTTTGGATACTAGTTAGTCTGTGTCTAATTTTCTGAAGGAAGCAATGGGAGGTCAGACGAGTACTTAAACTCAGGGCTATCCTTCCGGGGAAAGCACGTGGGCCTGTCCTGTCTGTGGGAGCACATTGTGGGCAAGAGGACAGACAGGACAGAAAGCCAGGGGCAGAGCCCAGCCAGCCTCCTGGATTCTCAGGCCAGGGATTGGATTTCCCCACTGTGGGGGACTTGAAGTTGGCCCCTTCCAGCCGGGACTGCCAAAGGCTCTCCACAGGGCAGGCTTCCTCCTCCCAGTGAGGAAAGCAGGAGCGGCAGCAGGAGCTGGCAGCAGCCACAGCATGAGGGAGGACAGGGTGGAGAACTCCCCTTTGTGAGTGGATGGACTCCTTCCTGTTTGGGGTCCCTCCCTCCACTGTCCCAAGTGTTTCTCTGAAGTCATGGGGGTGGGGGGGGGGCATCCCCAAGGAGCCTGGGCATTACAGGACAGGTTTCCAGGCTTGAACTTGCAGAGCTGGGAAGAGGTTGACATGCTCCCTGGCCTAACGGGGACTTCTCCTCACCTGGTGCTTCTTCTTGCTTTGCTGGGCAGCATCAGAAAGGGGACGGGGGCGAAAGGCAAACCAGAGCTATCCTGCTGCCCACTCCTAAATGTCCTCGCGGGGGCCCTCCACTATGCTATTAAACATTTGAAACTCACTTTAATATCTTGGGAGAAGGATGCTTATGTATTAGGTGTAGGAGTGGATTTGGCAGGAAGATGTTTTTGTGACTTCTTTTCAATCCCAGGAATGGAGATTTATGGCCTGATGCTTGGATTTCATTCCTGGTGGTTCTGTAATGTCAGTTTCATCTTAAGATATGGAGCTTTTGGCCCAACCTCATGGATAGCTGCTAGCAGGTGTTCTTGGTGCCCCTGGAGGTTGCCCGATAGATATGAGGGGCCCAGCAGATGGACCAGGACACAGGCTGCAAGTGGGGGGACCTGGAACTAGCACACGCTCACCTCCAGCTTTTTCTCTCTTCTTCAGCAAGAAGAGTGGCCCTCAAAGTCTCGACCCTGGACCCGCAGCATCGGCATCACCAGGCAATTTGTTGGAGAGGCACTCAATTCAGTCTTACCCAGACCTGCAGAGGCTCGGGAGGGAGGCCTGGCAGTCTGTTTCAGTACCTCCTCTGAAGTGGTTCTGATGTTTGCCTAAGAACCACGGAGCTGGAAGAATCCAGCTGGATGGGGCTGGGTTCCCTGTGACTAGATAAGGAGGCAGGTGACAAATCCAGGTTCTGATCTGAGACTGGGTTTTAACGGGGTTAGGAAGACTATTGTATGCTGTGTGGGCTTTGGTTTCACCCTTTGCCTTTCAGCGGGAGCCTGGGTGTGGCTGTGATTCCAGGCAGGGGGCTTAGGTTGAACAGCCTTCTGTCTGATAAAAGAAGACAACAATGTTCCAGAAGGATCCTCTTTGCAAACGTCTAAGCCTCAGAAAGAATGACCATTTGGCACATCTTTTGCATGAAACCATTCTGAAGACTCCCAGGGAGGGAAAAGGTTAGTGAACCCTGCGATGGTCTGGCAGACCCAGATCCAGGTTTTGTAGGGTCTAACGCTTGCGTAACACTGGTAGCTCTGTCTAAGACAATGCAGAACGTAGTAGATTTTACAAAACATACTAGCATGTGAACATACCGTCAGGGCCTGCCGGGGCCTCAGCCCATCCACCAGAAGCCCTGGGTTTACTGCTCCTGCAGCCCCACAGTAAAGCCGCCTCTGTGCAGGAAGGGCGTGCATCCTCTCCCTGGTTGTTCAGTTTTAAACTTTTTCCCAGCTCTGATTGGACAACACCAGTCCAAAGCTAACTGGACAGCTTTTAGCGCCCCTCCCCCTCCCATCTTTTCCTTTTTTAATGTGTTGTGGCAGTCACTATCTACAGTTATAGAATGACCCTGGAAGATGAGGTGGGATGAAAACTTCTTGCTTTATTTTCCTGGCTCAGAGGTAAGGTGACACGGCTCCCCAGATCAATCAGGTTTTAACCATGTGGCCTTGGGAGTGACCTTCATTAGTCACTTGTTTCACATTTCCAAGTAACCACTGCCCTCCTCTCTCCCTTCCCTCTTCCAACTCAACTTCTTCCGGTCCTTTCAGCAGAAGGCACCCTGCTCTTAAGTCAGCCAGATCTGGGAGCTCAGAGCTCTCCTGTCCCCTCAACATTTTATGGCAAAACAATCAGCCCAAGGCTCCCAGAAAAAGCAGAACCGGGTCTCCTGACCTTTGGGGAGGACAGGTGCTTATCTTTCTGTCATGCCCAGTGGTGGCCAGCCTCTCCTCACCTACCTGAGCTAGAGTAACCTACACCTTTTAAAGTCTGGAGGAGGCCCCTGGGAAGAGAATGTGGGTCTCAGCACATGACCCTGACCTCCACCCCTCCTCAGTGCAATCCTCCCTTGAAGATGCAGAGCAAACTTGACTTTCTGTCCAGGCAGTAGATATTCCTGAAGGTTGACTTGACCATCAGGACAGTCAGTATTCTGAAAGGCTCTGGGGGTTCTTGAAGAGACCTGTGTGTGACCAGCAGTTTGTCCTACATAGATGTAGATATATTGGTTCTCCCTCCACCACCTTGGATCCTTTGGGGCATTTTTTTTCAGATTCCCATTTGGCCCCAACCTTGGTGGAGCACAAAGCCGGCTTCTGTTGAGCATGCCAGGTGGCCTGCTGTGTCATGGCTGTCCCCAGGCTTCCCAGAGCCTACCCAAGGGTCGAGACCCATGACAAAGAGGCCTTCTCTCACACTCTCCAGAAGGTTCTCTGCAGGCCAGCCCTACCTGAGGACAGTAGGCTCCCACTGCTGCCGCTGATAATCTTCCCCTTGCTCCCCATGTTGGCCAACTTTGAGGTCTTCAGTGTCCCAGTCTCGGTCAGGTCAATGGCAATCTCGCTCAGACTTCGTGCCGCATGGATCTTGGACTAAAACAGAAGGATAAGCAGGTCATGGAAGGACATTCCTCTCAAAGAGGGGACAGAAGTCACTCGGTGTCCTGAAATTTAGCAAAGTGACTCATCCCAGGATCTGCAGCGTCCTGATGTTTGTGTCCCTCAGCCCCATCACTAATCACCAACACTGTGTGAAGGAGAGAGGGGGCTCAGAGCTACACAAATGATGGAATGTCGTAGGCTAGGATCCTGTAGGCTGAACTGAGTAGTGCTTACGAGCACCTGTTTGAAGTCTGGATTTGGGGAAGATTACTTAATCTCATGAGCCTCATTATTCCCAACTATAAACTACCCCACAAGGAGGTGAGGCGTTCCCTCCCCTCCCCTCCCTTTCCCTCCTTCCCCTTCCTCTCTGCCTGACACAGCAATCAATAAAAAATAGTGACTCTAATTATGTTGAACTTAAACATGGAGGAAAAATAATTTTCAGCTTTCTAAATGACATGAGACAGGTGAAACAAATTCAAGAAATACCAATAAATTATGCAATTATGAAGACCTCTTCAATTCTCATCCATGTGACCTTGGAAAGTTTGCCTGAAGGTCAGTGCCCTATTCCTGCAACCTCAGTGTGCGTGGTGAGAAGCCTCTGGAACAACGGCTCATGGGGACACTTGGGCACTATTCAAAACTTCTGGCACATGCTTGGCTTCTATTTTGATACCTACATGTAAGTTCCAGAGTCTTCATATTATAGCTCAAACTTCGGTTAATTAGCCCCATTTGGCTAAAGGACACAGTAAGCCAGAATCATAAGAAAAAGGTTCTGTATTCACAGTTGCATCCCTAAAAGTGATTGCTTTTAGGAAGGCTGTCTGGGCTCAGGGGCCTGCATTTGTCCTGCAAAAGCAGTCTGGGACTCTGAGGCCATGTCCTTCCTTTGGCCTCAGTGTTTGTCCACACTGGTGAATGACCACAACTTCCGGCCTCGGGCACTTTCCTCCTGTTAGCAAGACAAACGTCTATGAGCCAGAGGAAACTCTTGAGGCTTTTGCTTGTTTTGTTCACCTGGTGTGAACCGGCCTCCTTTTCTCTCTCCCCACTGGTCCTTCCTCAACCTAGACTTAAGTCTTCTTTGTAACCTGGACTTTTTGCCTTGCATTTAGAACCAGGTCAGCATCCTCAGGTTAGGGTCCCCTTATTCATGGCAGCAATCCCAGCTGCCAGCCTTCACAGGGTTTTGGCTTGCAGCAGAAAGCAGGAAAGTCCTTGACCCAGCCTATCAACGGCACCCATCTGGTAGTGCTTTATCCTCAAGCATGCACAGCGAGCACAACCCATTAACTTCTTTTCTTTCTGCACTACTCTATTATCAAGACCCATGTTTTTTGTTTGTTTTTTTTTTTAAGAGAGAGAGAAAGAGAGAATTTTTTAATATTTATTTTTTTAGTTTTCGGTGGATACAACATCTTTATTTTATTTTTATGAGGTGCTGAGGATCAAACCCAGTGCCCTGCGCATGCCAGGCTAGCACGTTACCGCTTGAGCCACATCCCCAGCCCAAGACCCATGTTTTAATAAAAAGGAGCCCACACTTAACCAGCTTGTAATAGTAACTCAGGATGACCTAGACTACTGCTGCATAGTAGTAAAGGCCTGGGGCCTGAAGCCAGAGAGAGCTGGGTTAGAATCCCAACCAGTTAATTTCTGGTGGACCTTGACCCTTGAACTCTCTGATCCTCAGATTCTTGTTTGTAACATGGAGATCTGAGAGTCATCACAGAGATGGGATGAGGGCTAAGTTAGATAATATATGTCAAGGCCGTTGCAATAGGAATAGGATGTAAATTAAGGCCTGGAAATGATTTGTTAAATGGGGTTAGACTGATGATTCCACCTGGCATTTTAGGGATCTCAATAATCACATGTAAAACCTGTCTTTACCCAGCCCCTCCGCTCCTGCCACACATCAGTCTCAGAGGTGGAAAGCAAAAATATGGAAAGGGAATAACAGCTGTCCTTTAGAAGGGAGACCAGATTCTCAGAAGCTTTAGAAACTTTCTGGAATGGAGATATCACAATGACCCAACAGTCTTAGTGAGGACAGAGAGAGGAAGCTAAGAGGAAATGTTGGGGACATCTTCTCCTTGCCGAGTCAAGTCCCTGTGCCAATCCGGAAGAGTCTCCAGACTTCTGAACGCCTTTCTCTGAAAGTCTTGCCCTATAAACATTATTCAGTTTAAAGGAGGATATTCTGTGAGCAAGATTTAATTTTTCCTACCATGTTGTCTCTCTGCTTTTGATTCCAGATGGAATAAAGAGAGCAAACTGGACTTTAAAAAGGAAAAAAAAAAAAAAAAAGGGTAAGGAGGAAAGACATTTACATTGGGGGTCAATTCCAGAAGACCTGGCTCTAAATTCAGAGGAAAAAGTGTCTGATGTTCCATCTAAACAATTTGATGAAATTGTTTCAAATATTTTCAAATATTTCCCTCCCAAGTCCACAAGACATTCCTTGGCTCCAGGCTGCCGAGATTGTTGGGATCTCACAACATTTCTGATCTTTGGGGTCAGCATACAGAAGTTACCAGTTGTAATTAGTGGCTGCCTTGCTTCTCATACTGAATGGACCATGGAAAACCAACTAGTACAGCCCCCCTCCACCCTACCTTGGAAGGTGCAAGGGTCTCTTTATGCACATGTGTGGAGGGGAGCTGAGAGGGGGTGTGGAGGGGAAGAAAGAGAGAGGAGAGGAGGGAGAGAGAGAGCCAGACAGACACTGCATGATGCCCCTTAAAGAAGGAAATACCCGAGTGTGAGGAAAGAACATGAAAATCTTGGCCACCCCCCATGCTGACTCAAACCACTAGACCACACTTGTCTCTCTGGAGTTGATAAACATCACTTGGGAGGCCTGGGCTCTGCTGAAGCACTTCAGAGAAAGAAATGGTTGGCACGGCCCTATACAGTAGAGTGGGAAGCCCTGCCAGCTGCCAGCCCACACAGGCTGGCCAGAAATATTTGAAGCTTTTCATTGGAAGGCCTGTCGGCCATCACTCACTCAGAGCCCGTGCTGCCCACCAGAGACGGATCTGATCTATAAAGAATGACCTTCCAGAAATGAAAGGTGCTGTAATTCCTATGGGGAATTTCATCACCTCTGATTTAACTTGGGGACCTTTTAGGGAATTTAAACTTGACGCATGCATTGGCCAGGAGAATAGTATGTTAGCTTAATAATGATGTTAACAAGAGACAGCACACACTTCCTGAAGCCATTTCACCAACATTGTGTCATTTGACCAATTACTAATTTAGGTCAGGAATTTCCTTTTCTGTTCTCTAATTGGGGAGAGCAAAGAGCATGTGATCAAAGACCAGTCCAAGGTCACGGTTCTGGAACACAGAGTTCTCCCATGTCCAAAAAGGGGAACTTTCCCTCACCTGTCTCTGGGGTTTGAGGAGTTTGTCCCTAGGAGGAGTGAAAGGGCTTTGGGACATTTGTGAGTATGTGAGGCTTTCTGGGACAAAATTCTATTCCTCCCAGGCTTTTTCTTCTGTCTCTCAGGGTTACTGAGAAGGACAGCCGAGTTCTTCCTAATGCTGGGGGCATTTGGTTTTGCCTCTTAAAAGATGCTCTTGTTAGTCAGTGATCTGTGACCATTCTTTCCTGAAGCTCACTCTCCGCATCATGGCTGGCCTGAAACCTGCTGAGCAGCCTTCCCATGGGTAGGACCACCTTTGAGAACGGTCACACTGAGGCCACCTGCTGAAGCCATCCAGGAGACTCTATGCAGAAAAGAGGACAGAGAGGGGATCTCAAACAGCCATGTTGCACTATCCATCGGGTAAAATGTGCTATTTCTTTTTCCCTTTGGAAACTGTGGTACCAGTGTGTGGGTGGTCTGCTCTCGAAAGAAACTGGCAGTGAGGTCCAGGAGACTTGCCCAACCCTCTACTCCTCACCATCCCTTGACTGAACAGTACCCATGTTCGAAGGTGTTGCAAGGCGTTGACCTCCAGCCTTTGCCACTGGAGAGCAAATCGCTGGCATCTGCTGGCCGTGTCAATGTGCAGCATGAGTCAGAATCTTTTGGCCCTGTTTCTTTTGATCCAAGTGAGCTTCAAATTCCTGGGCCAAGGCCTGTCAACACCTGGAGAGCTCTGGAAGGCTCATGACTCCTAACTACAAAAATGCTCCTCCCTGGACTCAGTCACCCCAGAAAGTGACCCAAAAATAAAGACCAGAAAGAAGATTTAGAACAGGGAACAGTGCTTTACAAAGGAGAAAGTAAAGCTGGACACAGTGGCACAGGCCTGCAATCCCAGCGACTTGGGAGGCTGAGGCAGGAGGATCTGTGCAAGTTCAAGGACAGCCTCAGAAACTTAGAGAGACTCTGTTTCAAAATATATATAAAAAAAAGAGGGGCTGGGGTTGTGGCTCAGCAGTAGAGCACTCGCCTAGCACGTGTGAGGCACTGGGTTTGATCCTCAGCACCACATAAAAATAAATAAAAAATAAAGGTACTGTGTCCAACTACAACTAAAAAAAAATATTAAAAAAAATTTAAAAAAAGAGAAAGGGCTGGGGCTATGGCTCAGTGGTTAAATGCCTCTGGATTCAGTCCCCAGGAACAACAACAACAACAAAAAGGTGGTGGTGGTGTGTGTGTGTGTGTGTGTGTGTGTGTGCGCGCGCGCGTGTGCGCACGCATGCTATAGGCCCTGAATTAAAACTAAATTAGGACTGAAGGGATAGCTTCATTTCTTCCTGTACTATCTCATCTCCCACTCAATCCCAACTTTCTCCCCCAGGAAACAGAAACCCACAATAAATGAAAATAGACAAAAGAGAAAGAGCCCCAGCGGGTCCCAATCCAGTGATCAGAGTCCTGCCTCCTCCTGAGAAGTCAGTGGAGAAAAGCCCCCTTGGGTAGAGGAGCCCACCAGCCGAGGGGCCGCGGCTGTTCTTGCTCTGTATGTCAAACACCCCAAGCCACCGGATCCTGGGAAAAGTGCAGGACCCATGTTGGCAGGGCCTTTGCCTGAGGGTACTGGAGACCTGAGCAGGACGAGGGAGCAGAGTGTTGATAGAAGCTGTGTGTGAACCAAGGACACGTCATTCTCCCACCCACCAGAAAACACAGGGCAAGTCTGGGTTGGGGGCGGTGAATCTCCTGGACAGATGATGTTGACTAAGCCCCAGGCTCCGGGTCCACCTTAGGGAAACAGACTTGTTGCTGCTGCTTTTTTTTTTTTTTTTCACTTTTCCAGTTTTGCATTTTTAAAAATGGAGTTGGCAGTTGGAAAAGCCTTCAGGGTTTTTCACAGCAATTACCCTAAACAGTTAGGTGGTGTCTATTAGATGAGAACTGTTCCTCTCTCTCTTTTTTTTTTTTTTTTAACTCTTCAAAAAATAAAACATGTCACTGTTTAAACACCAAAAAGGGCTGGACTACTTGTTCCTGGGAGAGTCTCCTGGGTTCCAAAAGCACGTTCAGAATTCCTCAGAAGGATCCTATCTGGCTCTTGTGGCTCTTGAGCAGTTGATGGTGGCTGGGCCTCTCTTGACCAAGCTGCATGGAATGTGCTGTCTTAGTCTTAAAGAACTAGTCTCCTTCCTCCTACCTGGAGCCCTGAGAGGCAAGTCCACACCTGTGCAAGTCTTGGGCCAAGGACACGGGTCCTCCCCCACTCATCCATTCCCATCTCTAAACTGCTGCCCCGAGGCCAGCTCATGACTTGGTGAAAGGCCTGGTCACTTACCTTACTTTGCTTTCTGTCCAGATAGAACTGGTGTTGGCTAATAGCCATAGCCCAAATGGACTTGATTAATGCTGGACACGCATACCAGGTGTGCACTGCAATGCCACTGTGCCCAAATGTCCTCCTTGTCACCGAAGCCCTGGAAAAGCAAGAACCACAAGTTTCAACCTTGTTTATGAGGAGAGAAGCCGTTTATCAATCAACGGCTTTTAGTAAGAATACATCGGGACCTAAAAACTCTGGCATGAAGATGACAGATGAGCTCACACACAAACAGGCGTGTGCAGGAACACACACACACACACACAGACACAGAGGCACCCCCGGGTGTAGGCAGGGAAACTGACTCCTCAGGGCTCAGGATTCAGCCAACCTTCTCTCTTGTCAGGGGTAAGATAGGTCATTCTAGGTCACTGGATAGTCCTGTCTGATCTTTACCTCCTGGCACTGGGCCAAGACAAACCTCAGAGACAGAAAAACCTTCAGTGGTGCTCTTTAGTAACCAGGCAGCGCTGCCCATGGTGAAGAGGAACCCATTCCTTCCTCATGGCCACAGGCCACAGCATTGGAGGGAAACAGGACTTCCTACAGCACTCCAGCTCAATGCTCCTTGAAAGGTCTAGGAAAGCAGGAGACTATAAAGAATCAGCAGAGGAAAGGCAGGGAAGAAGGAGCCAGCTGATCCCCAACCTCCATGTAAATGAGGCAAACCCACGTGGAGTATGTATGGGGCAGAGAGGAGGAGTCAGACCTCAAAAGTCAAAATGGGCAACATTAATCTCAATCAACATGGTCTAGAAGGAAATGGAGTTTGGGGAAGAAAAGAGTCACATGGTCATGTTCTCAGTGATATTTGCTTTATAAGACAGACAGATTAAAACAGAACAATTGAAATTTGAGAACCTGTGTTTGAATGTACATCCTTATGGGGGGTTTCGTGGGGAAATTCGACCTGTACATCAGAAGAAAACTGTCCAAGACTACGATATCTAATTTAGAAGAAATGTGGGGTCATTAGGATTTGTGAATAATAGGATTTCCCCCCATGTGGCCAATTTTGACTGGAAGAAAACTTAAAGCTGCTCCTATCACGTTACTGTGGAGGCTGAAGATTTAACAGTGGGTCTTCTTCATACCAACTTTTAAGGAGAAATTCAAGTCTGGTGGTTAGAAATCTGATTCTAGGCAGGTTTTTCCTCCTTTTGGTTCAAACCAAAGTTAAGGGGGAAAAAAGTTGCCAGAGCATGAAATAGCACACAGTTGAAAGTAACTGAACAGGAGGCAGTGATGGAGGAGGAGACCCTGCTGGCCTCTGCAGATCTGAAAAGACACTGTGACCTGAGCTCCCCGTTTGGCTTCCATGATAATTGCCAAACGGTTACTCCTGGGAGTAAACAAACAACAACAAAGTCAAAGTGGAGAGGAAAAGTAACTAGATGGATACTTTCATCCAGGTAGTAAGAGCTGCTTTTCAGATAAGGTTAATGAGGGAGAGTTCATGCTTCCATGGAAGCATCTAAATCAGAGTTTTTAATCTGGCTCTAACATGAATTTATCTCCTCTACTCATCTCTCCTCTCAGGCCCTTCCCACCCCACTGACTTTTCTATTTTCCCCAAACCTTAGAACTGAAATAGTATCTGCAAACCCACAGAATGGCAGAAAGAAAGGCAGGTAGGAGGCTATATGGGGGTTTGCAGTTCACTGCATGTTCTGTGTCCTGAGGGGAAGGACAAACGTTGGGATCCCACCTAACCTGATTAACTCAGAAAGTACCTTGGCCCTGTGTGATGTCCCTGTCCTCCCAGTTTCCCACAAAGGACATTTGTTACACGATTTTATCTGGCACTTTCCAACCTATCAACTTGGTTCCCACTCCCTTCCTGGCCTGGGGGAGGAGTTGACCCTGAACACCGTGATAAGGTGAGGGCATTTTGATGAACCTTCTCTGCTCCAAATAAGCAAGGCAGCAAGCAACAGGAGGAGGCGTCTAACCAAACTGCTCTATCGTGCCATGGGGAGGGGAACACCAGCAGAGGCAGAAGGCCTGGCGGCAGCATTGCCTCTGCCCCTGAGGTAGCCAACCTGAAGCAATTCCCCTTCCTTAGGCATCTGGAGAGTGGGTCTTTCCAGCTGAAGCCAAAATGAGCTTTTACCTCCCTGGGCCTCTTGCCTTGCCTCCCTTGACCATCCTGTTCACTTTTTTTTTTTTTATACCACGTAATGAACTCAGGGGCACTTGACCACTAGCTGCATCCCTGGCCCTATTTGTATTTTATTTAGAGACAGATTCTCACTGAGTTGCTCAGCACCTCGCTTTTGCTGAGGCTGGCTTTGAAGTAGAGATCATCTGGTCTCAGGCTCCCAAGCCACTGGGATTACAGGCATGTGCCACCATGCCTGGCCATCCTGCTCACTTCTAGAAAAACCTGGTAGACTCCAGGCTTCATTTCCAGAGTTCACACTCCAAGCTCAGGCTACCACCTTTGGGCTCCTTCACCTCCCTCTTCTGTGTATACCAGGCCCTCCCTCTCTCACCTAATTTTCTCAGTTAAGGAACACCCATCTGGCCCCTTAGCCCCCTATGGGCCCACCTCAGGGCCTCCATATTAGTTACCCTTCCAGGTTCCACTCAGGTCTCTCTCCTCAGGAAGTCTCTCCTGAGCAGCTGGGACGTCATCATCAGCCTCATTTAGCTTTTATGTTCTGTGCCATTTGGCACCTGGCACCCCTACTTTGTGTATAATGTAGCAAAAAGAACAAGAGCTTTGGCCCCAGACTTCCTGGTTCAAACCTAGCCTGTACCACATAGTAGCTATTTGTAACCTTAGAACTGAAATAGTATCTTAGAACTGAAATTGTAACCAGAGCAAGTCACTTCATTCCTGTGCCTCTCACACAGAACAAGATCGACAGTAGGACCTACTTCCTGGGTTGCAATGAGAGGATGTAGACATGCCATAAACCTCCTCATGTGTCCATTCATTCTTCTGCCTGTCCCCACAACTATGCCAGAAGTTATAAGGAAGAGGACCCCATTTCAATGCAGGTGGGAATGATCCCTTCTGTTGAATAGGTTCAAGATCACTTAATGGTGATATGTGAGGTTTGGACCCTTTCTGATAGCCTTGGACTTTGGAAAGGAGATTTAGTATTACATCACTGATAGGATGATGGATGTAGATCGAACACGTGTGCCCCTCACAACACACACACAGTTAATGGATTTGACCAAAGTGATCCTGAGTTAGCAGAATTCCCAATAGAACAAAGGCATAGAGAATCTGTCACTCTCCTATGTACAGCCCCTTAGATTATCCAATCTTTATTTAATTTTTACTATCAAGCATCCTTTTTCTGCATCTGACCCACGGTGGCAGAATTCATTTCGCCCTTTTTAACACTTGTTTCCCCTCCTCTCATCTGCCTAGAAATCTGGTCCAATTCAGTTCACCTGAAAAAATAACAGTATGTTTCTTCTTGGCTGGATTCTATTTTTGGTATCCATCGCTCCCTCCTTGGCCTGCACAGATGCATATGTGTGCTCTGCAGAGGAGCGTTTTAGAACATGAAACCAGTCCCAGGACCCTGTGAAATGCTGAACAAGCTGTCTTCTGCTGATGATACCATCTAACCTGACTGCAGAGACTTGGAAGCTCTAGAAGGGTTTCCAGCTTCTAGAACTGTAGTAACTGTAGGGCAGGGAGAAGCTCACGCCTATGCATGAGGCTGCTTCAAGCAGATTAAATGGCAAAGTGAGCAGTGCATGAGTCCTGATGGCTTATCATGCAGCAGGAACTCAGGCAACTGCACAAGCCTCAGCTCTCTCACTGTGGGCGTCATCTCAGCATCCGGAGGGCAGTTTGTCTCCTATGCCAGAAGCCCTGTGTGAGGTGGGACTGATGCCATCTCAAGTCCAGAGCTAGGTGTCAACAGCACCTAAAATCCGCTGAGTCTTCTCTAGAGCGTCTGATCTTTTTCCTACCTTCCCAGAGCTATCTTCTTATTGTCCATGTTTTCAGACCTGAGTAAAGTGATTTATTCTTATGTGTCAGGCCTGATTCTAGGAAATTCTACTGCTGCTTATGGGCTGCCTGCAACTTTAGGACTGCCAGCTGACAAAGAGAAAGCTAGGGCAGGAGCTGCCCCGACCCCTTGTACGCCAGCTCACTGCAGTCCTTCCTGGGCCCTTATTGTCTGGCATCTACTTGGAGCAAGGATCTTTTATCCTGTTGCTCTCTGGGATACAGTGTGGGGTGGAGGGAGAATTAATTGTATTTCTTTCATATCCACCCACAGTGCTAACATTCAAAAATTATAGCTCCTGGAATAAAACAGTTGAGCACAACTGCTTCAGTGACAGATTCCTTTTGATTGTCCTGCCTGAACCCACTCACTCTCAACTGCTCTGACAAGGGAGCCTTCGGCCTCTTCTCTGGGAAAAGCTTCCTAAAGGGACTTGGGCCACTGCTGGGTTTAACTCTGTGTTTGTTACAGAGTGCCACAAAGCTTCCCTCCAGCTCTGTGGTGTGCAACACACACACACACACACACACACACACACAGATGAGACATTCATGAAATTGCTAATTTCACACATTCTCTCTCTCTCTCTCTCACACACACACACACACTCACACATGCGCTTGAACCTACCACATTTACCAACAAAGCTTTCCATCCTGATTTGTACCCTGTTCTCCACGATTCACCATCCTCGCCCGATCCCAAACTGAACACTAACAATGACAGCCCCAAAATAATAATATAAATAATATGCCAGGCATTCACCAGAAAAGGACTTTTCAAGCTTACCTGCGGGGGTCATGAACTTCCACAGAAAACTTCTTTTCTCTGAAATACAGGTTTTCCAGTTGTCTCCATTGGAATATCTGGACAGAAAACAGTGTGGTTTAAGCTCAGGAGCCTGCCTTCCCACGTCGTCCCTTCCTTGCCCGGTTAACTTTCCACAGCTGGCAGTTTCCTTATCAAAGCAGAGACCTTGCAGTTGTTTGTGCTCCTCCGCCTGTGCCTGAAGCCACACACACACACACACACACACACACACACACACACACACACACCAGCTCTCCGTTTAAAACCAGGCACCGAGGGTGTGGATTTTCCTGCAGGTTTCTGGACGGGAACAAAACAAGTTCTTTTCCACTTGCTCCCCTTTGGATCGCCTTTGTTGAACTCTCAAGACAGTTCCCAGCTCTGCAGACTTTTCCCTCCAAGGACGGGGGAGGGGAGGGGGCGCAGAGAGGAGGGAGGGCCAGGAGGCCGAGCGAGCGCGGGCGCTCAGAGGGGAGCGGGAGCCATCTGTGCCGCGGAGCCGAGCGCCGAGCCGCTTCCTCCCCTCAAGTGCTGAAATGGGAAGGCGTTCAAATTCCCAGCTCCCATCGGGACTCCACTTCCTGCCGCTAATGTGCAGGAGCCTCCGACGCGCTCGCAAAGGGCGGAGGCTGCCGGGACCTTAGTTAGGGGCAGGCGACTCAAGATCACCGTATGAGCCTGCCATGCCCATTCTTTCGGTGGCACAAAGAAAAGCAAGAGTTGTGTCCCTAGAGGGACACTGCAGCCAGATCCCTTCCAGCAACAGAAGGAAGCAGAAAGCGCCTTAACTAGAAATCTGATGGCAATGCTGGGAAGCAATTAGAGCTGCATGGAATTGCTCTAGGAACGGGGTTCCTTTCTCTGGATGAGAATGAAAGTTGCTTCACCCTCTGGGAAATGTCAGGAGGATAAAGTCAAGTGCCCACATGTTTGCATTTATATTGACGGTTGCTCTATCCCCTTCCATAAACTTAGGATGTGACTTTATTTTGCTGAAATAGAGCAGAAATCCTGTTCTCATCCTTCCTCTTGGAGATGGCTGATTCTTCCCTGGGATCCCCCTTTTTCTGCCCACTAAGTCGGGACATATGCTTTCTAAGGTCTCATTCCAGACCCAGAGTCCTCTGACTGGAGGCTCCTGGCCCACTCTGACTTGCTCTGTTTCCTCCACCTTAAAGATGTGAGGGCCATTTCCCTGCATCAGATTACACTGTCTCCTCAGGCTCAGGATGCTGGTGGTCAGTGCTTGGTCAATAGGTTCATCATCCACGCAGAGCTGAGCTGGAATAAAACGGTTTTCTAGGATGGCTGCATCTTTTATCTCTACAGTCTCCTCTCTGAAATTTTAAAATTATTTTGTCTGTGTAAGTAATAAGATGGGGATATCAACTGCCTCTTCCTACAGAGCTCCCTCTTCCATAAGCAGCTCGGAGTGCAATGTACTCTGAAACCCAAGGAAACTGCACTTTTCTTCCTCTTTAAGGTCAATTCCAATTCCAAGTGGATGGAGAGACATCTGAAGGAAAGGAGGGGCTCTAAAGCCAGCTAGCTCAGACAGCTTTGTGTCCACCTGCCTTAGCAGTGTCTTTATTATTCAAATATCACATCAAGGGCTCTCTTTGGATGCTCTGCCACTGTGGATGCCTCAGTGGAAACACCCAGAGTTCCTCTCTGATCCCTGGTTGCTAGGTATTTATGGAGTTTTCACCCAAATTTCATCAGAGTCAAAAAAAAAAAAAAAAAAAAAAAAAAAAAAAAAAAAAAAAAAAAAAAA